AGATGACAGGTGCTGGTTTGACAGTAAATATATGCATATACATATACATACATATAGATAGATATATATATATATATTTATTTATTTATTTATTTATTTTATGCACGGAACAACAGAGAAAAAGACACAGATCAACACAAACGAAAAGGCACAGATTAACAAAATCCATGTGAACAGGAAAACGCATTCGCTGCTCAAGAAAAGGCAGAGAAAAGGCCCAACACGAAAGAAAAGGCACAGATCGACAGGAACTAAAAGGCAGCACAGACCACGAACAAAAAAGGCAAGAATGAGTATCGCTCCCCGTGAGAGGTTATGTGCTGAGACTTGAACTGGCACCGTGAGCAAGTCAGATGCATGATTCGCACGATGTCGCGTGGCTTAGTTCTATAGCCACTGCTGAGTGCACGAGTCAGAGCACGAATCCTGAAGCATGGCCAGAGACCGTTCCTCACATCGCGAAGGGCTGTGTAGAGTTAACTATTGGTTTATATGTGCCCCCCCTATGGCATCTTGGGTTTCTATGAAGCTCAAAACCCCGAAACCTCTAAACCTTACGCCCAGGACCTCTACAAACCCCTAAGCCCTAAAATTTTAACCTAATCCCCAGACGGCTTTTCAGAAGATGTTTGGTTTCTTGAGCCATGGAGTCGACGGTGAAAGTCGAGCCCTTGCAGCTCAGCTGGGGCTCCGGGAAGCGAGACTGGCTACAGATTTGGGCATGCTTTTATGGTTAAGTCAAGCTCCTGATTGCTTTAATGTAGAGCCCTAGCTATAAATCTTTTTTGTGGAAACCCTAACCCCTGACAAGTAGTTTTGGGGTTGTTGAACTCGACACCTAGGAAAGCCAGGGCGGCCCAAAGACAGCGAAGCCGATGTGCTTGTGGCCTGTGTGGAGGATTCCGACTCCGAAAACCTGGAGGAGGGCGATAGAATAACGGAATAGTGCTATAGTAGATGACAGGAATTATAGAACGGGAATGATACTACTATAACTTACAACTCTTTAGCTTGCTACAGAGAGAGTTTGTTTGGATTCAGACGAGCTGCGCACACTTCTTGCGATCTCTCTAGTGCGACCTTCTGTGGTTCAGCGGAAAACCATGTCCTGAACTTTACACAGTGTTGCCAGCATCCGCTGGATTCTGAGCCAGTCGCGACATGCTTTTCATGCCCAGACATGACAGTCGGTAGCAAGGAACGCCAGACATATTTTCTTGAGAACATGCCAGACCTCTGCGCACCATGACCAGGACCCGACCCATCCCTTGTCGCGCGTCAAGAAGAACCGCCATCTACAGACTTCTATAGCCAAGGCACGTGGGTCACATTCAGTGTCGAGGACCGGGTCTCGCAGTTTCGGCACGGGAACGTAGCACCCGCAAAAACAGTGCAGCCAGAGACTTGCACATCCAAAAGGAGGCTTGGGCACGTTCAGTGTGGAATCTGTGTAGGATGTGCCGGTTAATTGCAGTTGCTAATCAGGTGAGGATTCGGACTGCGGCATTGGACTGATGTAGCCATGGTCCTGAGTTGTTTGGGAAATGCAGCTTCTGCCGGCCATTTCTGGCCGTTTACCTCAGCGGCAACACCTTGCAGGATGTAGTCTCGTTCTTGTAGATGCTAACCGGATCGTTGGCCGGAGCCCACGACTTCAGCTGCTTGTTGATGTCTCTCCCTTGAACCCTATCTCGGAATGTAGCCCCTACTTGGTGTCCTTAGCCCTGCAAGGACCCCAGACATATGTTGAAACCCCTGCCTGCCTGGCCGGACTAGGCGGCCGGAAAGCTGAAACCAAAGTGACCCCTGTCAAGACCGGCAAAAGGGTTTAGGTCCTTTAGGTTTAGGGTTTCTCAAAAAACTTGACCGGTCAGGCACTCCTGAAGTTCCAGAACGATAGAAGGAGAGGCTACGAAAGCGAAAAGATCGAGCACCCTTGGCCAGGTTCATGTAATCTGTACGGTGTGATTTCCGCAGCAGAAAGCCGCGGCTTCTGGAAATGTTGTTTGTTGATTAAAGTGCATATCAATGGAGCACAGATCAGGCTCGGATACCTAATCCCTAAGCCCGAACCGCTTTGCGACTTTGTCAGCCGGGCGGGTGGGAAAAAAGCCGCTTTGTCCTTGCTAGGGAGGAGAGGAAAAAAAAACCCTCCTGGGTAGTCAGCTGAGATGCCTGAGGTACAAGATCAAGCCACGTCCTCGTCCCACTCGAGAGCTGCCACGGTCCCTCTTTGAGGCACACCTAAGTTGAGGAGATTCAGCGTTTCGGTTTGAGTTTTAAGGATACAGGGGCTATAGGGTATATACAGGTGGTGTGAAGGACTTTGAACAGGCACGTTTGTTGGAGCCAGCCGTGGGTTCTACACAGATCCTGACCCCTGCGCCGGAGGACCCACGCCATTTGGCAGACAAGACTGTGAGGGCGAGGGTCGCGCCGAAGAATCTGCACACCATCAGGAGCCGACACATATTGCCCTGCAGTGCTAGCTGCCAGCATTTTTGGAATGCTAATGTTTTCAGAACATAATATTGCAGGATACAGTATACCAGACCATGGTATGTGTGTGCATGTGGAGAGAAAGAGACGAGTAGCACAGCATAGCGCAATCTAGCATAGTATTAGTATTGAACCGTCTCGTCCAGTATAATGTAGTGCAACATTGTAGTGGACGGGATGTCGGTTGAGCGAGGTGGGTAGGTGGGCGCTTTCCTGGGTTCTCGGAAAGACCGTTACATCACTATGAGACTGAGCAGCACATTGAGACGAGCCGAGGCAGCACGAGTCTGCGAGTCGTTATGATTAATTACGGGCATAACTTTTGTGATTTTCAGAACCAACTCAGAAGTCATTTCCGTGTTTGAAGCTACCAGCAGCAGCTAGTGCAGCACTGGAATTTGAGACCACTCGAGGGTAAGGCTCTAAAGGCACCTGAAATGCTCCCGCCGGCTACTGGAAGGAAAGATATCTTCCGGGCAAAGCTTCGTCTCGATGTCGAGGAAGCCAAGTGGAGCAAGAAGGACATTGTGGCCTTCTCGGGGTTCGGGGATTTAGCATCTGCATGTTCAGGGTTTCGGGTTTAGCTGTCCTGGCGTGACGCTGCAAGCCAGTTGCAAAAGGGTGTAGATGTATAGGGTTGAGGAGGTTTTGGGGGTTCAGCGTGTTGGCTTTGCGAACCTCTATCTCTTTCTTAGCCGTTCTTGGAAACATGTTTGTTTTGATTTTTTTGCTATTGGGGGATCCCAAGAAACAGCAAAGAGTACAATTGTTACAGGGGGTTCTACGAGTAGCTGAGCTTTTGCTGTGTCTCTCTATCTCTTTTTCTCCACCTCACTCTCCAACTGTATCACCATCTCTCTGGCAATTCAGTGCTGCCACGCCTTAGACATCAGAGGGAGGCTTGTAGAATCTCTATATCCTGCATAATCTCTGCACCCTACACCCCAGTGCTGTGGGCAGCCATTTGAGGGGTCAGTCAGATAGTAGAGTGATGCAGAAGCTTCGCTTCAGTAGCACGTCCGAGCTCCGCTCGGCGCTGCGACGCTGGGATCGTGGGGCCAGGGCCGAGGTTGAGAGCACCTACGGCAAGATCGAGGACTGGGATGTGTCTGCGGTGACAGACATAAGCCAGCTCTTCAAGGAGATGGATGCCTTCAACGCAGATATCAGTGCGTGGAACACCTCAGCGGCCACCAACATGAGTGAGATGTTTTGCAATGCCAAGGCATTCAACCAGCCCATCGGGGCATGGAACACCTCAGCCGTCACCGACATGGGGTATATGTTTTACAATGCCAAGGCCTTCAACCAGCCCATCGGAGCATGGAACACCCCAGCCGTCACCGACATGGGGTATATGTTTTACAATGCCAAGGCCTTCAACCAGGCCATCGGAGCATGGAACACCTCAGCCGTCACCGACATGGGGTATATGTTTTACAATGCCAAGGCCTTCAACCAGGCCATCGGAGCATGGAACACCTCAGCCGTCACCAACATGCGTGCTATGTTCTACAAAGCCTCGGCCTTCAACCAGGCCATCGGAGCATGGAACACCTCAGCTGTCACCGACATAGGGTTTATGTTTTACAATGCCAAGGCCTTCAACCAGGCCATCGGAGCATGGAACACCTCAGCCGGTCGGATCACCGACATGGGGCATATGCTTTGCAGTCCGGGCGAGGTGCCTTCGCCAGATCGGGATGCCTGCCAGGCGTGCCCACCACAGCACTTCGCACCTTTCAGTGCAGAGGTTTGCCAGCCATGTGGCTTTCCATTCATTGCAACAGAGGATAAGTGCATCTGGTGGCACCTGGTGGTTTCTGTTTTGGTGCTCGCGGCACTGGTTGTGGTGCTCCGGCTCTGGGCATCACGCAGGTGGAGGAGGAGGAACAGAAGATTTCAGAGGTCATGACACGCTTCTACGGGGAATTATGGGAGGAGGAAGCCAACACAGTCATCCGCCACACGGCCGCGCTTCAGAAACTGGGGGTGGCGAAGAGCACCATTGAAGGTCAAGTCGATGACCTGCTTGCTTCGCAAAGCCAACGCGCAGGGGTCAGCCTGCAATACTTACTATCGCAAAGTTTCGCAGACCTGGCCCAAAGCCGCACGAAGAAGGCAGACCCAAGTTTCATTGACATGAAAGAGGCCTTCTGGCTCTCTGAGGAGTTGGAGGCCCTCGGGAAAAACCTCCGCTGCCCTCGCGATGGACGACTGGGATGCGCACTTGTGGACTGGATTCCGCGAGACGCTCGCCGTGAACAAACACATTTTATGTCGTGGACATGGAAATACACCCTGAGCGAACTCACAAGCGCACTGCGCATGTTCCAGGCAGGCGAAGCCACAGAGAATGTACATTTCTTTATGTGCTTCTTTGTCAANNACTCCTGGCAGCAGCCGGTTTACTTGTCCAGAGTTTGGACTGTTTTCGAACAGTTTGTGGCATCTAAGCTGGACATCCCAGTCCAATTCGCAATGCCAAAGACATCTGCTTCATCACTGCAGCAGACCATCCGATACGGCGACTCGGGCATTGAGGAGATTACGCAATCCCTGACTGCGGTGGATTCGGAGAAGGCGAAAGCCTGGTGCAAGGAAGATGAGATAAAAGTCAAGGCATTGATTCAGCAGTCTGTGGGCTTTGCTCACGTGAACCAGCACGTTGCCAAAGTGATGCTGAAATGGGTCGGTGGAGTGGTGCAGTTGCACCGACAAGAGCTCATGGATCAAAGGAAAAACAGCGTCAATTAAGCAGAGGTGGCTCAAACTTTGGCTTAATTCGCATGGCTGCTGTTTTATGTGTGAAGCCAAGAGCGCTTCTGCAGCATGCTCAGCCTTGCATTTGGTTTTGCGATGTGGTGCGGTCCAGCCGAGATGTGCTGGAGAAGCTCCCCGGTCAGTTAAACACGAGATTTCATGTCACCTATGGCCTAAGGCCTATCGCTAATTTTGAAGCAGTGCCACCAAGAGCGCGACTCGGGCAAGCTGGAACTTGAGGTCGTCATTAAAGCTGCAACAACTCGTGCAGACTCAAACCCAGCTTGCTTTGCGTTTTGTTGCCCACACCTAGCGGCCAGCCGCGGACACCCTGAGCGATGTCAGAGCAAAACAGACGGGAACTTGCTCGCCGCAGGCTTGACTTGCATTCCGTGCCAACAGCTGTCAAGGTCGAAGTTGCAGAACCACCATGCCAGGCATCTTGCGGGATCTAGAGTGTAAACATTCAGCGTCAGAAAGGGCGGAAAGGGTTATATAGCCGTTCCCCCGCACTCTCCTGGCAAAAACAGTGATTTAGGATCTGGGGTACCGGTGTTCTTCGTGTTTCGGGAGCTTGAAGTTGAAGGGGTGGGAGCTGCAGCAGCGGCCCCCCGTCGATGACAATGCTTGCATGTTTCCGTCTTATGCTCCGCAAAACCACCCAAATCAGCCGCTCGATCCAAACAGCGATGCTCGCTCGGGCTGGCGATTCTCGAGCCAAAACAGCGATTCTCATTCAGAGTCTGGGCAATGTATCTTCGTTGGTTTCTTTTTTTTGTACCCCCAGGAGGAGGAGCAGCTGGCTGATGTCGTCCGACAGCAGCTCATAGAGGAAGTCTTCCGGGAGGCCGGGGGCTTCAGACAAGCCTGAGACTCTGAGAGCTCTGGGCAGCTTCGAGGTTTGATAAGTTCATGGCCCTCCACACTTTTCACGAGTAGAGGTGTCAACACTTTCGAGCATGTCGACCATGTTGATCCGCCAGGGATACAGAGAAAGGATGCAGACGATGACACCGCGCGAGCGGGGCGAATGGTTCATGCAACAGCAACAAGAGCTGACAACGGCGCTTACAAAGGAGTGGGTGGGGCACCGGTGCTGGGCTGTTGGAGCAGGTTGCACGAGTTCTTAGGGCCCAGAGATGTTTTGCCCTTCCGGAGGAGGGATTGCTCATGTAATATGGTGGGGATGGAATAGCGAGCAATACAGTATTCCCATAAGTACTTCCAGCATCTTCTTGCGCAGCGCACCTGTGAATCCTATTCTAGGTATCAAGTCCCTGTATTAGAGACATCCCTGTGTCTGAGATGTTTGCCGCTCTCCGAAAGTCTGCAGGAGCTGTGGAAGAAAAGGAAATACAGGCTGGAGTGGGAGAAGGTGAGGCTGAGCTGCATGGAGGTTCCCGTTTAAGGCTTATAGGGTTCAGGGATCACGGTTTACAGATTACAACTTATATATATATATACATATATGTATATAGGGTTATGTACGGTTCAAGCATCACCGTTTAGGATTCAGAAACGACGTGGTCAGGTCTCAGAATAGAAACGGTGGCGGTCGGATTCTTCAACTGTGCGCATTTCCGAAGCCCCCTAAACCCTAAACCCTGACGATAGCCGGGGCCCTGGCATTTTGGGCCCGGAATCGGCACCCAAAGCAAGAAAAGGACCGTAAACCACGGTAAAACCCTAAACGAGCCCCAACCCCGGTTGCCCACCAAAGCTTAGGAGGCCCTTATAGAACCATATTAGAAATTATATTATATTGTATTAGATTCGATTATGTTATATTTTATTATGGCAGCTTAGAAGCCCCTAAGGAAGGATCGCCACCGAGCAAGGGGCTTTCGAAGGACTGCACGTGAGTGCTACGTGAGGTACAGCGAGAGGCCGGTAGAGCTCATTTTCGGGGCTTTTATCGTTTATAGGGTTTAGGGTGTTAGGGTTTAGGGTTTGGAGTTTTAGGGTTTAGGGTTTTAGGGTTTTAGGGTTTAGGGGTTGTAAGTTTACATATCTTTCAACACAACAGATCCCTGAGTGCACCAGCCGTGGGAGCTGCAGCATGTACTGTAGCAACTCCACAGGCCTGATAGGGACCAAGTCGATCGAGGCAATTTCAATCGGTAGGGTGGTGGGGCGTGGGAAGACTGCAGACAAGGCTCTTGAGCTGCAATGTATGCATAATTTATAGTCCTAAAGCTCTGTCTGCGAAAACTCTATACACAATTTCAAGAAGGGCTTGGGGTTTGTATAATTCGGAGTCTCTGAAGAATTTAGACACTACGCTTTAAAGACTTTACATTGACTTTACATCTCAAGGTCTGTGGCTTGCTGCTTTCTCCCCCAGGGGTAGCCCAGATGCCCCCAAATATCGAAGAGCCGAGCTGCGCCTCCCGAACTTAGGGTTCAGGGTCGGGGGTTTAAGTCTAGGGTTCTGCGATTTTCGACACTTCCCTCATCTTCTTTGGCACACAACTGTCCCGTCGGCACAGAGCAGACCAAACTCCAAGATCTCGCCTCCAGTAGGTGGTAGAGCAGCTTCTGTGTTTCTGTGTTTGTTGCCAGCCATATTTATCAGGTGGATGGACCGGATGGATGTGCAGGGAGGGATGAGAGATAGCAGGGAGAGAGAGCGAACTCATGCCAGCCACAAGACAGAAGCATCCTACGGGGCCACGAGAGGAGCTGATGTTCCCCTTGACCGGTGTCAGCAATCGGTCAAAGCAGACCTAAGTGCAGTGGGCAACCTGGCAGGCTCTACGAGGACCTTCAAAGGGGGAAGTTCAAGAAGGAGGAGGCGCGAGGGGTTCAAGGGCCTTTGAAGTGCAGATTGTTTCT